GAAAAGTGAGATTTTGTTCTAGGAATTTAAAATATGTTGAGACTTGGATTAAATGTATTAGTGAAGATTAGTGGATTAAATGAATAGGTTTAAGTGAGTAAAGTGACAAATGAGACCCACCTCCCACTTAAATGAATTAAAACACATGTTAAATTAGATTTTTGCAAGTTTCTCTCTTCTTCTATCAGCCTTACCCGCGATCCTCTCTTCCCAAAACAGTGAGGAAGCCATTTTTGTGACATTTGAGAGCTTGAATTCCCATCTCCATTTTTAGATATATTTAGGAAAAATCTTGAACATGAAAGTTGTTCCTCTCATTCTTGTGATCAACTTTCATCTTGAGTGCATCTTGTGGGGAGTCTTGTGTGAAAAGATTCTTGGCCTCCAAAGTCACGAAAATTTGAAGAGATGTGAATATTGTGGGTTGTTTCAAATGCTTGAGAGCTTGTAGGTTACTTGCTTGGATATTAGGAGTGAATTTATGGTAAGTTTCTACACTTTCTCTTGGGTTTTCTTATGGATCGAATTTTGATAACCTAAAGTGTATAAGTATGTTGGTCTTGGTGGTTAGAGGCATTTAATTGTAGTGTCCCTTTAGAATTTAATGCTCACAATAATAAATAATTGAGATTGAACCAATAAAATTTATGGTGATATAATTATGACACTTAGTGAAAATTTTGAGTGGAAAAAGTGATGGAAAATTTATGAACTCAAGTAAGCATTTAAGGTAGTTGTTAGGAAATAAGTGTGGTTGTTGGAGACTTGATTAGAGTGATGGATGATGCCTCAAAACACATGAAAGTTGAATGAGAAAACCTTAGATTTTGGCAATGTGCCCCTCGGCCATATAGGCATATTTGAGGAAAATTGTGTAATGGCTTGTTAGATAATGTGTTGGAAGGTTGATAGCTTGGTTGGTGAGCTTGAGTGATGATTAAAATGATTAGTTGAAAGTGGAACACCATGGAAGGCATTTGGGCCTTGTGGCCGAGGCATAAACTTGGAAAGTGAGAGTTGTTGTTTTGTCATTTGACTTGTAATATCAAGTTTGGGATTGATCATGTGTGCATGTGATCATTTAAGTTGGATCCTATCTTGGACGGTTGAGCTTGGAGCTTCACATTGGAGACCTTGGATCCTTGTTTTGCAAGGATTTGGTAGTTTTCCCAACTTGCTTTGATATGTGCTTGATTTGAATTGATAATCATTGGATGAATGGTTGTGGTATTGTATCAATTGGAAATTGATGTGGTGGACTTGGTATAGGTTGTTGTTTGTCAATACCACTTGGATTGGACTAATGCCTTGACATTGGAGAGCTCGGGAAAGGGAGTTGCATTAGGTAAACTCTTGGTACTGGGATAAATCCCCTTGTGTGTTCCACCTTGCCCAAGTTGAGGGTAGTGGTTGGATGTGCGCTATTTGATAATGTATGATAGAGTATTTCATGCATTATTGATATGTTATTTGACATGTGTGTTGGCATGTTATGCGATATTTATGCTTGTATCTCTAGCCAGTACATAAATATGGTTTGGACTTCCGCTGGAAATAGTCTTTTTTGGAGAGCTCCGGTAAGGTTTTGTTGTGGGGCCGTCTCTGGGAGCGGTACTAAGGAGATCCAAACGTTGTGGGACTTCCGCTAGATAGGTCTTCGTTGGGAGTTCCGGTCGGGTTTTGCCATAGAGTCGTCTCAACCATGGGAGCAGCGCTAGGAAGGTCCCAGAGTTATATGATGGGGTCTTTGAACGATATCTTGTGTGGATGTTCTTGGATGTGAGCCCAGTGATTGATGTGATTTTGTATGTTATAATATTCATTTGTTATCATTGTATGCACATTGAGTGAGCCATTGGGTGGAGTGACCCTCTAGGATCCTAAGTTTACTAAGATATATATGTATATCTCACCCCACATTTTGGGGCCCACTTTCAAGTACAGCTACTGAGGGTGCAGAAGCATCACAAGTACGAGGCTAGGCTATAGTGCCATGATATTGCATGCATGTGGAAGTTATTTTGATGTATATTTTTAGCTTACATGTCATATATGTATTTTGGAGAGTATAAGAGATGTTTATGCCGCTTTTGATTATTCTTTTATATATATGTAGAGACATATGTATAAGTTTATACTTTGACATATCTATTGGTAGATAAATGATGCATGATGTATATAGATCATGAGTTTTATTAATCTCATGTTAAATGACATAAGTTATCTCATGTCATAGAGACAAACTTGTGGATTCCACCACCTGAAAAAATAAAAAGAAAAGAAAAAAGTGGCACAATTATCGAAGGGTTTATAGGAAGGAAAACTTATCTCATGTAGCATGAGAATAGTTTTTCCCATAGATCATTTGGAGGACTTACATACATACACACACACACACACACACACACACACACACACATATATTCATATAATATGTAATGAACATGATGTTATTCCATTTGATATATGTATACGATATATATTGATATTCATTGAGAAATCCATGGATGGACCATATGATCAAGCCTAGAGTTGGCTTTAGGTATGCTTACATACTTATATATCATGTTATTAGGTCAAATGAGAAGTTTGGATGAACTCCCATGGTCCATTATGCAGCAAAAAACTGTTAATTTTGATTCTGTTCAGTAGGGAATCGATTTCCATTCCACAGGGGACGTGATTCAGCTTCTGTCTAGGATTTTCAAGAGTTGGGAATCGATTCCCACTGCACATGTGAGGTTTCAGACAACATTAACATGGTTTAGTAAAATGATCATATCTTGATCTACGAAGCTTCAAATTGAGTGGGATTTGGTCCTATGTGAAGCTAATACATAAGTCTATAATCCTGTAAAATCTCATGGCCATCAAATATGCTAATCATCCTCAGTTATATTTGGTTATTGTTGCCCTGTTTTCGAAGATTCGGTTTGAAGAAGTTGACTTGTATGTATCTTGAGCTTGACTACTCCGATTGAGCTTGTGATACCTCGTTGGAAAGCTTGAAGAGTCTAGTTTAGCATATCAGAAATTGGTTTTTATTGGTGGTGTAGAGGGTCTGCGGTATAAATAAAACCATAGGTATCTCATGTTAGAAAAATGTCAAATTGGATAATTAAGCTTTGTTGGTTTATGGGAACCACTTAGCACCTATAATTACATGTTGTATGATGTTATGCCTTAGTATTTATGTTCCACAATAAGAATTGAGTTATCATCATAGTTCGTAAAATGTTTTAATACGGTTGTTCAAAAGTGCGAACGATATAAAAAAGAAAAAAATTTACCACATTTTTTAGAAGAATTGCTGTAATTGTAACTGCGCTTAATATCATAACTGATGATAACATACCGGTCATGAACGGGCTGTTACAGCTTCCCCCGATATCCTCAGAAGTTTTGACTATTTAAGTCAGTTATAAGACTGATTCGAAGTGTGAGGCATGTCAGGGATGAAGACATCAACAATTTTTTTTTTCTTTTCAGATTCCGTAGTAAATTTTCAAATCCTAGACACGCTCCTTAATTCTGTTCAAGGTATCTAGTGTCCATCTATGCATGTTAGTTAGACATTTTGTGATGTTTTAAATTAGTGATATATATATTAAGGAAAAAGTATTTGTCATTTTAATGGATATATAGTTGTGTCATTTTAAGATAGAGAAAGACACAACATAGTATTTGTTTATTTAAAATTTAAATTTAAAAAAAAAATCACTCACTTTCTCTCCCATGATTTTCATTATTTGTATCTTTCTTTCACTTAAAATGACATAATTTCATATCCTTTAAAATGACAAACACTAAACCCATATATTAATTCCATATTTTTTAAAATATATAGTCTAGTGCAATTTTTATGAGGAACTCGGTGATATAAAATAACAAGTCAAAAGTACTTCTCTAAAATAAAATACTACTCTGATTAAGTTTTTAGATATTTTTTAAAGAAAATAAAATTTAATATCCATGATATTAAGAAAAAAAATTATGTTGAATATTTGCATTAATATATAGTCTTTTTGTAAACTCAATATAATAAACAACTTAATTAATACGATAATCTTATTATATACTAAAATAAGATAAATAACTTTGGCTAAATTAAATCCTTATAATTAACAAATTTTTTTTTTTTTGAAAATATTCCACCAATCGCTTCGCGACTAGTCCGATTCGGGACGAGTCCAATGTTAAGTCTTTAAATCCCTCTCAAATGTGGTATTGTAGAGGATCGAATATATGCTCTCACTCTGAATTGCTCAGCTCTCATGCATCAACTGAACTATCACCGTTTAAAATAAGAAATGATTCTAAATTAAAATCTTAACCTTACTTGCTTATTTTACATCATTAAAAAAGGAGTCGTCTTGAAACCAACGTATGAGGCGAAGGTGAAGTACGAAGGTTTCATAAGCATAGGTTTAAAATAAACGGACAAGTGAAATATTTATAATAAGCTCTGGGGGTAATTCCAAGTATTAAATTATGGAGTTTGTTTTTCTCATGTTGCATGAGAAAATAAACTCTTCCTATACTCATCATAAAAAAGTGTGCCACTCATTTTTTTTTGTTTTTTTAAATAGGTGAGTCTCACGCTATATCTATGACATAAGATTAGAATTCTCCTATAACATAAGATTTATTTTTCCCTTAAATTATATGCATTATTAGGGTAGTTTGGCCTTTATTAAATTAACTGCCCGTACACACCTGTAATTATTTAGTGGGTTAACCAAGGTTTTATCTATTCTCTGCTTTGCTTTGAGTTTGAAAGGGATATGATGGTTGACGCGAAGGAATTCTTATTAGTGATGATTGCAATAATTCTTTGTAAAACTCAAAATATTCATATTCTACATTGCTGTCTTCGATCCTTAAAGAGGGGATATTCCGTGGCCCCTCACAGCTTATGGTAGCACCTGGAATTCGAACTCTATTATGCATGATTTAATAATGAAAAAAAGCAACAACTTCTGACTTTTTATGCCTATAAAATGAATCCGAAGCAAAGTGAAACCTCGTACAAATTTCGAGGTACTAACATAGTTGTTCCGATGACCAAGGAAGCCATGAAAAGTAAGGATATGCCGAGTGCTGAGCTCACAAAGAATATGAACGATCGAAAGCCATCGTGGGAAAAGCTTAATCATGTTGATTCCCTCAATTTGGAGGCTGGAAGAATTTCCTCAACCAAAAGTCATGCTCTGAAGGTCTCTCTACCTCTCAAAACTTTTTCTCTCATGACTTTTCATTATTTGTTTCATGTGTTGTCAGTGTAAAACATTTCCTTTTTCATATTATTAGTTGCGTTACTGATTTTATAGGATTAAATATTTCTTTTAACGTTCGTCAACTCTAAAACAACCTCGTTTTGGAATTACAAACCCATACTAATAATTGTATTTTGTTATATTTTTATGAGAGTGTGATCACGGCTTTTTCACCCTTGTGCCCCTTATTAATTATTTAATAATCATTTTGTCCCTTATTTAGAATTATCTACCAATCTGCCCATCTTTAATCGATTAAGCCAAGAATTTAATCGATTAAATGGTCAAAATAGGCAAAAATCGTTGATATGAAGATTTAGTCGATTAAATCTCCCTATTTAATCGATTAAATCTCCCATGCATAAGGTTGTTCTTCTGATAAAGAGGAAGATTTAATCGATTAAATCTTCATTTGACCATTTAATTGATTAAATATTCAATTTAATCGATTAAAGAAGGACAGATTGGTAGATAGTTTGCAATAAGGGGCAAAATGGTTATTAAATAATTAATGAGGAGCAAAAGGGTGAAAAAGCCATGTGATCACATTTAAATATAAGAATCTTTTCCTATTTTTTACTTACCATAATTATAATTCTCCAATAATACTTATATGATTTCTTTCAATGTTTTTCTTTGTTTAATCAATTCTTATATACACATATTTAAAGGTGTAGTATTTCTCCTGCAATATGAAATACAATTATCTCCTGCAACTTAAAAATAATTTTGTTTTGGAATTAATTTGAGAAAAAAAAATTACAGGATATTTTTTGAAAGAATTCATTTTGCAAGGAAGGAGTAAATTCATAAAATATCATGTATATTTTTTCACCCCAAACCCGAGAACAAGTTGTTTTGGGTTGCATGGAGAAACAATCCTCCCCATATTTAGTCATATTGAATGTTATATGGTTTTACTTAATGTCATATTTGTTTCCACTTATTAGAATTCATTTAAGAATGATTAGACCCCAGACTTCTTTTAGTGTATTAAGGAGTCATCATGACAACATAAACTTTTAACATTGTATACTTATATGCATATAAGTGTTCATAATTAAATGCATTACAACTAATACTTGTTTACAAACTCTACAACTGGAATATATTTTTTTTTTTAAAAACACAAAATTTTTCCTATCATTTATAAGATAATTCGAAAACTTATAGGTTGCACTGAAAATTTATATTCAATATTAATTAAGAACTTAATTATATTAAATATAAAAGAAAGAATTTAACTCTCAATTGATGAAGTTTATACTGTAATTAAGGGATTTAAATATATGTGATTTTACTAAAAATATAAAATGTTGATAGAATAAGTTAAAATTTCTTTTCCTACACGCAAATGATATTATCTCCTATGATATTGGTTTATAATGTTATAAGTTAGTCAAAATGCATGCATATGCCATCCACTTAAATCATTGACTTTAATAAGCCAATAAGAATTAAGTCAATGAGTAGAATCCAACTGTATTGGTTAAAAAGTCTTGAGTTTCATTTTCATTTATAACTTTGGTTAATAAGTCATTTATATATGCATAGATCTATAAATTCTTAGTGAGACTTACGGCATGTACTAGATTGCTTAATACATCTATGAAGTCAAGACATGTCTTAACTTTAAAAATAAAATAGATTGCCCTTACTCTTGGATTTTCTACTCCTAAAAAGATCATTAACTTTTGACCTTTATTTTTTCACGTGTAACAGAAAAGTTGGATGAGGACATTGAGTTTAGCATTTCAAAGCATAGGGATTGTATATGGGGACATTGGAACTTCTCCTTTATACGTCTATGATAGCACCTTCACAGATGGTATCCAGGACACCAATGACCTTCTTGGATGCTTGTCTCTTATCATCTATACCATTATACTCATGCCCTTTGTTAAGTATATTCTCATTGTTTTGTTGGCTAACGACAATGGTGATGGTATGTTCACATCATGCAATATATGCATTCCCTTTCTCTCTCTTTTGTTATCTTTTTTTTTTTTGTTTTTTTTTTTTTGGAAACATTAATTTTGTTATCCTTAGTCAAGGAAAATGTCTGAAAAAGAGAGGCAACATATTCTATTCTTTAACCATCATGTGTCCATGCAGCGAAGCAGCATTAGTTACAATAATTTATCTGTCCAATAGATAATTTAAACTTTTAGTCTTCTTAGACATAATTTATAAATGGGAAAGCAAGGAATATTTAAAAAAATAAAATAAAAATGGTACCGATAAAACATTTTTGTTTAGATTTTTTTTTTCGATAAAAAATCAAATAGAAGAATAATTTGATTATGACATTTGAGCCCACATATATATTAAGCATTATCTACAAATTATTTTTTATTATTAGAAAAAATTGGTTCATTAACTTTCGTATACAGTTTATTACATATTATTTATGAAGGTGGGCCCTACGTCTTTTTTTTTTTTTTCATTTTCTTAAACTAAACTCAATTTCTTTTAGTCCTGCTATATATATATAGTTCCCCCCTTATACTATTAGTACTCTTCATGACTTCATCCCAAATCTTTACACACCTTAATTTATCTTTCCATATAGTTTGATTTTATCTGTAGAAGCAAATTGTTATTATTAATTTTAAATATATATTTTTGTTTAATTTTGTATGGGTACGTACACATGAGTTTAGGTGGTACATTTGCATTGTATTCTTTGATTTGCCGGTACGCGAAGGTGAGCTTAATTCCAAATCAGCAACCAGAAGACAATCAACTTTCCAATTACAAACTAGACACACCATCCAAACAATTTAAGAGGGCACAAAAGATTAAGCACAAGCTAGAGAACAGTAAATTCGCCCAAGTTATGCTTTTCCTTGTAACAATCATGGCAACGTCTATGATCATTGGAGATGGAATTCTTACACCATCTATTTCAGGTGAGATAATTTTATCTTAATAATTTAACACTAGGCTTCATAGCTAAGGAATTATTGCTTAATTCGTTATTATATATAACATTTTGTCTACAATTGTTTACTATGCATGCAGTACTTTCAGCAGTTAGCGGGATCAAATTCAAGATCTCATCACTTGGTCAAGGTAGCTGCTTCTTTCTTCCTCTTAATTAAATGCAGCGTATAGTGTATTAATTTGAAACTATACATAATTTCAGAAACAAAATATTAGATGATATATGAAAATTGTTTCGTAAAAAAGAAAAGGTAAAAACCATTTGTTGCATTTTATATCGTTGTTTATTATTTATTTTTTGGATTCCATGATCTTATTTATCCTTTTGGGGCGAGTTAAGTTGGGTATCTCCACGATCTATGTGGGGAACAGAATGCGCACATGTATAAAACTAATCTCAAGTCGAGCTGCGTGACAATTATCCAGCTCTGAAATATCGTTGCTGTATTATTAGTAAAAAGTACTGTTATGATTTACTAATTCAAATCCTTTTACTAGTACATGCTTGAGTAAAGAGTAGGCTTAATACAAGCAAGTCTTTTCTTAATTTTTTTTTTTTTTTTGGGTGATTCGTAATAAATATATTGGAAGTTAAATACTCAATCTCGAGCTATCATCACATTCTAATGATCAATTGTTACACACGTTCAGGGGCTGTTGTTGGGATCTCCATAGCAATCTTGATCGTTCTCTTTCTTGTCCAGCGGTTTGGCACTGATAAAGTTGGCTACACATTTGCCCCTATGGTTGTGATTTGGTTTTTATTCATTGGAGGCATAGGTCTTTACAACTTGTTCAAATATGATGTTGGTGTATTGAAAGCTTTCAATCCAAAGTATATTATAGATTATATGAAAAGGAATGGTAAAAAAGGTTGGATTTCTCTTGGTGGAATATTTCTGTGCATTACAGGTGAATTGTGGCATCAAGTGCCTAGTATCTTTTTTATGCTCTTTCATATTAATTAATATATGAGAAAACATATTGTTTACTTCAAATAAATAAACACTTATAATGATCCAGGGACTGAGGCCATGTTTGCAGACTTGGGTCACTTCAACGTGCGAGCAATTCAAGTAAGTAAATAAATGCACTATGATAAGATATACAAATGATGTCCCTTATAAGGTAATTTGAGCTTCGAAAAGTATAAATTACATCAGTGACTTACTATATACACCTTGTATCACATTGTTATATTGCAGATTAGTTTCTCTTTTATTACATTTCCTGCACTAGTTTGCGCTTACAGTGGACAAGCAGCATATCTTAGAAAGTTCCCAGATGCAATAGGGAATACTTTTTATAAATCAATACCTAGTAAGTTTCTTCTATGTAGAATGGAATTGTTTATTGATTACAAAAATTCATGAAATGAATAAAATAATGAAACTTTTAAGTTAAATTTCCTCATCACTGTTAATTTTGAACGTTTCCATTTACATGTAGATGCAATATTTTGGCCAACATTTATTGTGGCGGTTTGTGCTGCTATCATTGCAAGCCAGGCTATGATTTCAGGAGCATATTCTATTATCCAGCAGTCTCAAAGTTTAGGATGCTTCCCTAGAGTTAAGGTCATACATACCTCTGCCAAATATGAAGGACAGGTGTTCATACCTGAGATCAACTACTTTCTTATGATAGCTTGTATCATAGTCTGTGCCGTTTTCAAAACCACAACAAAGATTGGAAATGCTTACGGTGTGCTTATCAGAACATCAACTTCTTCAAAATATATGATGATAATTGTTACTTAATTGCTTTTCATTAATTACAGGGATTGCTGTGTGCATGGTAATGCTGGTCACAACTTGCATGGTTACTCTTATCATGCTTGTTATATGGAAGACAAGCATATTGTGGATTGCTATTTTTGTTGTGGTATTCGGTTCAGTTGAGATTGTGTATCTATCATCCATGCTTACTAAATTTGTTCAAGGAGGCTTTCTTCCATTGGTACTTGCTTTTATCTTGATGTGCATCATGGGTATTTGGCATTACACACATAGAAAAAGGTACATGTTTGAGCTCAACAACAAGGTTTCTGGAGAATATCTAAGAGAAATAGTAAGCAAAAAAGTTATATCTAGAATTCCTGGAGTAGCACTTCTATACTCGGAGCTTGTTGAAGGGGTTCCACCAATATTTGCTCATGTTGTTGCAAACATACCCTACATCCACTCTGTTATAGTGTTTGTTTCCATTAAGCCTATCCCTATTAGTAAAGTTGCAATAGATGAGAGATTTCTTTTTAGACAAGTTCAAGCAAGAGAGTATAGAATATTTCGTTGTGTTGTGAGGTATGGCTATAATGATGTGATTGGAGAACCAAAGGAGTTTGAGCAACAATTAGTGGAAGAACTAAAAGAATTTATTCGTAATCAAAGTTTTACTCATGTGATTGAAGTAGTGGGAGGAAGTGGTGCTGAACAACACACCAATGACAACTTTGGTAAGGATGGAAAGGGTTCTTCCAATCAAATAATCCCAACAACTTCTTCATATCAAGTAGTGGAAGATCAAGAGGTGTTGTTGTCTCAATCTGATCAACAAAATCCAAAGTCTAACCCTACAATGAATGTGTCTCGTGCTTCATCTGATTCTATTCATTCATTTGGAGTTAATAGTAGAATCTCTAATCCACAAATGCAGGGAGTTGAAGAGGAGATAAACTTTGTTCAGAGAGCAATGGAGAAAAGTGTGGTGTATATGATTGGAGAAACCGAAGTGGTGGCAGAGCCAAACTCATCCATGCTTAAGAAGATAGTTGTGAATTATATCTACAATTTCTTGAGGAGAAACTTTAGGCAAGGAGAAATTTTATCAGCAATACCACGTTCTAAGCTTCTCAGGGTTGGAATGACATATGAGATATGATGATGACACGACACCTTATGAGAAATGTTCAGAACATGATATTATTAGTGAAAATAAATGTTGTGCTGTTATCTTACTTTCCATCTTCTACATATTAATATTTCTCGTAGGCACATAAAAATACGTGGAGTCATGTGAAACCATGTAAAGATAAGAAAGAAAAATAAATAAAATCTCTACATATTTTTATATGTGTGTAGAAAATAAAATTCTACAAATATAAGAAATATTAATCCCCTACTTAATTACAAGAAATGTAATCTTATTATAAATATACTTCAAATAGTGTGAACTTAAAATGTTTGGTCAAAATTGTCTTATGCATTTTAGGTTGTTACCATAAAATATTGTTAATGTCCTGTGCCGTTGATCGGAATTGTTAGAAATTTAACGCAGAAAATTCAAGATCCATTGTGCAGATGTTGATGATCAGAGTAAGGGCATTGAATCATGCATACATGAATCTAGCATTCTAGCGTACATAAACTTATGAATTATATTTTTAATTAATTAATAAAGACTTGTGATTTTTTAGTTTAAGATACAATTCCACTATAAATAAAAATAGATGTATGAAATTTTATATGATGAAGTAAGATTATAAAATAAGGGAAATAGTTGTATCATGTTGTAGGAAATTGATCGTGTAATACTATAGACACAATCAATGTGGACCCCACCACTTTTAAAATAAAAAGAAAAGAAAAGAAAATTATGGAGTTCATATTGATTGTATCTATAACATAACACAACCAATTTCCAACATGATATAACTATTTCCCATAAAATAATCATTTCAAAAAAAAAAAATTCTCGTTTGATCCCATCACTTTATAACAACCAACCAATGATTTTATCTCTAAGTTCTAATACCCTTTTTTTAAATGGATAAATTTTTAAAAAGGAAGCGGTGAAATTACCAACAATCACATCGGCTGTGCACACGCACATGATATTAAAATGAGAAAATTCACCGATGTCCCTGTGGTTTGCTTCAGAATCATTTATGTCTCTGCGATTTTTTTCTATCACATATGTCTCTGTGCTTTGTAAAAAATAAAAAATCACAGGAGTATATGTGATAAAAAAACATACCCTCTTGCAAACCACATGGGCATATGTGATAGAAAAAACCAGAGGGGCATAGGTGATTTTGAAGCAAACCACAGGGGCTTTGGTGAACTTTTTCCTATTAAAATCTATAGTCAAAATCATCACTTAACCCTAAAATTTGTCTAATAAGATCATGGCAAATCATCGAGAAAATATAAAAAACAACAGTTATCTTGAATTCATGAAATTGGATGAGATTTTTTTTTGAAAATATTCCAATCGGTTCAGTGTTTCGCAACTAATTCGATTCGGGGCGGGTCCAGGATTAAGGCTTTAAACCTCTCTCAAATGTGATACTAGGGAGATTCGACCACATGCTCTCACCCCATCTGCTTAGTTCCCATATGCCAACTGAGCTATCACCATTTGGTTGGATGAGATTTTTTATAGAAGGATTAACGATATTCAAGGCTAGAATGCAAGCACTCTTCAAATAAATGTATGTTTGAATTCTGTTTTTAAAAATAATTTTTTGATTTAAAATAAAAAAATATATTTGATAAGGTTTTTTTGTAAAAATAATTCTAAAAACTATAACTATTTTTTAGAATTAAATTTAGAGAACATATTTAAGTTATTTTTGTTTTATATTTTTACTTTTAACTTTCAAAATAAAATAAAAAACACTTATTTTATTAATTATTTAATAAAACAGTTTTTTTTTTTTTAAAAGAGCACAACCAAATGAGCCTAAAATATAAAATAAAACATACATTCTCACCTGAGAATTAGATATGGCAAAATAAATTCGCCGCATCGGACCGGCCCGCCAAACGAGATGAGAAGGGTTGAGTTTATCAACTCGCTAGCTCGGGGCAGGCTAGCCTGCCAACCCATGTTTTTTGTTTTGTTTTTTTTGTCTGAAAATCCATGACAGCATCAATCTTTTTGTCTGAAATCGACATACATAATGGAAAGACTCTAATAAATGCAGAACTATGCAGAACTAATATCATCGTCAGTCCAACCCCACTTTCTATAAACACCTTCCTTCCTAGCACATGTGGATTTGCTTATGCATAGCTTTATATGAACAACTACAACAAATTGCAACTTCAAAGGATCAAACCCAATTCCTTCACTTCCTCAACTAACTCCTTAAACCATGGTAGTTAAAATCAGGATTTTACTTAAAATCATAAGGAGAATAAAAAATCGTAAAACGTAAAATTCTAACGTAAAAAAAAATCATAAAAAATTGTAAAACCGTAAAAGCGTTTCGAATTTTGATGAAATTATTTTGATTATAAAAAATCATAAAATCGCAGATTTAAAACAAGATTTTAACTACCATGCCTTAAGCCGCTTACGAGGAACCTTCAATGTGCGAGGTAGTATTCTATAAACCTTATATGGTAGTTAGAAAAGCCTTTGGACTTCAAAAAATAATATTTGGAAGCAAAATTTTCATGGGATCAGATCAAAGGATTCCTGAGAAGGACTAGATGATAATTAAGGCTTTGGTTTGTGAGAAACCCTGGTTCTTAAAGAACTCAAACAGAAGGTTTGGATTTTCACAAGTTTTGAATTTCGTGCGTATAGAAAACAAAGCAGCACTCTGCAATGATAACCCACAAGTATCAATGAGGTACGATGCTGTAAGAAACATAGGCGAGCAGGTGGGGCAGGGCGTGCTGACTTTCTCAGCCCACTATTAAAAGCGGGGCAGGATAAGGCGGGCTGGCTCGTTTGTAGACGGGGCAGGACGAGCCGCCCACTTTGCCATCTCTATTGAGAATCATGCTGATTTTATATAATTGCTACTTGAATAATTATCTTTAATTATTAATTTATCCCATCATAAAATCAGGAGTTACGTTTTGGCCTCTACAAATAAGAGTATACACTTAACAATGCATTAACAAACTCACAAATTCGATTTAATCACCTTAATTTTGGTTAGTCTTTTTTGATAGTTTATAATATTTTTTTATTTAATATATTCCCATAAATTAGATTTAACTCCAACATATCAAACCAGTATAAGCTAGAATATAATGACAAGGATAATGCAGTTGTGAAAACAAATGTGAAAAACAAGACAAAGATTCTTTATTAACATGGAAACCAATGGAAAGGATGCAGCATAGCTTTGCAACCCATTTGTTTCGGGTACAAAATGTCATGGGTAATAAGGAATCAATTGAGATCGATTCAAATTGGACATTCTTATTATTTAATTTTGTCAATTTCCTAAATATTCTTTCCAACCCTATGTTTGGATGGAAAGAAATAAAACAAAGGGGATTAAAAAGATAAAAGAAAAAAAGTAAAATTTCGCTTGTTTAGTTGTAAAGGAAAAGTAAGGGAAAAAAAAAAGGTCAACAAATAAATTTTTTTAATTCGGTTTCTCTCAGTTTGTTTCAGGGCTTCCAAATAAAGAAGGTAAATATTAGTTTGAGTTCTGAGATACTAAGGGGGTGTTTGGTTGGGGGAAAATTTTGAGATAGATAGGTAAGTGGAAAGTGAGAATATGTAGTAACCATGTTTGGTTGAGCCATCTTCTTCACTTACCCACCTAAATAACTTATCTACCAAACCAAGTTGCCTACCTTTTATCATGGATTGAGCATGTGGTATTTGTGAAAAGCAACCAAACTTTGGGGATAGACTTTTGACCAAAAGACTTGGATACCTTCTCTTAAGTGGATATTTGACAGCATTGTAAAGTGTCAGGCCACCGAACAAAATATTTACAAACAGGGTTATTCTCGTAAAGTTACCTAATCTTCCTATCTATATTTTACCTACAACCAAACATAAATTTCATAAAAGTTACCTAATTTCTCTGGTAAAAATTTTCCCAACCAAACCATTTTTTTTATATTTTTCTACCTATCTCACTTTCCAACCATTTTCCTATATATCAAATTTCCCTATTATTCATAAAATTTCTCCTCAACCAAACGCCTTCTAAGACAGTTATAGGGTTAACAATAGCGGAGTTATTTGTGGAACATTGAGTTCATCTTAGGGTGAGTAGGGGCCTAAGAATGCGTACTTTGGACGTTATGGGCCTTGAAAGACTTCTACATTACATTACAATGGGTATTATTATACAGTCTAATTAGGGGTGTCAAAACGGGTCGACACGACACGAATTCGACACGACACGAATACATCAACACTAACACGACACAAATTTTTATTCGTGTCAAAATCTTCAACACTGACACGACACGAATTTTTTGCGGGTTGACACGACACGACACGAATAACACGCAAAATAAGGGTCAAAATGGTAATTGACAAAAAAATTTAAAAAAATGGATCGATATTAAAAAAAATTAAAAAAATAATAATAAAAAATTAAAAATAAAATAATTTAAAAAAAATACGGGTCGACACGAACACGAATACATCAACACTAACACGACACGAATTTTTTACGTGTCATTTTTCCCAACACGAACACGACACGAATTTTTTACGTGTCATTTTTCCCAACACGAACACGACACGAATTTTTTTGCGGGTCAACCCGAACACGAATTTTCGTGTCGTGTCGCGGGTCGACCCGCGTGTCAAAACCTATATTGACACCCCTAAGTCTAATCGAATGTTTTGGGTTCCACCAATTTCTAGTGTAGTTCTAGAACATGCTCTCATTGGCTAGTTCATTTTGGTTTCTTGATTTCTATAAATAGTCCAGATCGAATTCATATTGAGTCCTCATCAAACTCTTTCTCAAAATTAAGTTCCAAGTTACGTTGAATTGAATCTTGAAATTCTGTTTTGATTAATCTGGATACATAAAGAACTGAAAGAATATATAGACATGCAAGGCATCACAGGATGCTGCTTGCCTCCCCCATTGAAACGCTATAAGAACATTGAATGAGTTTTTCATTCTTGATTTTAGATGTTACTCCTTTTTCCTCATAATACAATTGTGTTGGGGAACTACTAGAATTGGTAATTTAAGGACACTTTGATACAACCCCTATCAAGGTTTACTCTAGGAAAAAGTTTAGGGAATCAATTGGCATTGCTATCTCACCTATTGAAAAGAATATTTCAGATGACAATTCCATTAGAAGTGAGAAAGAGGGTGCTAACGTAGCTGAAGGAAGTTGAGAGAAGATTATGATAAACGAGGGACAAATAGAGGAAGGCTGAAGAGGGAAGGGGGTCTTTTGGGCATTTGGAACCTTGGACATCTTAGGGTGATTTAGGAGAAACTTACTGTTAAGCATTTCCAGTTCTTGCAATTGTTCCTTTTCTTATTAAATTGTCTCTCAGTTGTTACAATTCTCATATTGTAATATAGATACATCTATATACAGATCTATATTCCATTTCCATAATCTATTGTGTTAGATTTATTTTTTGGTCGGTCCATATCAGGTGACGCCGGCATTGCAATGTTCGCCTGGGGCTAGTAAAAGACTAACGCAAAGCCAGCTCACGTAAGCGTCGGAGCTGCGGAGCATGGTGGAATGTTAGGACCCATTTGCAACGTATGGAACTTGGAGTCCCATATTGGTGGTATGGGCAACTAATGTAAAGTTTATAAGGTCTTGGACACTCCCACCTTTTGAGGTGGCTTTTGGAGTAGTGCATCCCAAAGTTATTATCACACTTTATTGCACAATGGCAAGTCAAAGGAGTAGAATCGTTTGAACAATCAAATTCAGATCAACTTATGAAAGGACATATTACCTTTACACCTAGAATTACAAGCAAAAGAAATGAGGGAAAAATAACTGAAAGCAGTCTTCCACAAGAGCTCTAGCTAAAGTTAGTCTCGTAAACCTTCAAAAATAAAACTCAACCAATAGAATAGGATCTCATAACACGAAACAAAAAAGAATACAAAATGTTGTTGCAAGAACAGGGGGGCATTTGTTGCCTATCCTATCCATACAAAAGAAAGCATATATCAGCCGAATAATGTCATAAGGTGAACCATATTTTATGTCCGATCACACAGAACAGGTACAAATTCAACTATTAAGCATAGGACTAAAATACCACTCCAACAAAAAGGAGATAAACATCACAAATCACAAGCACTTCAGGTGTGATAGAGATTATGCCACAACTTGGGAAAATTGAAACCATAACTGGCCAAAATGACCATCCCGCGAAATAGAAATTTTCATATAATAACTAAGCCTTAAGGGGCACTCCCCGGCATAAAGGCTGCTATTGATAATCATTTAGTTGGCACGGCTTTTGAACACATCAAGACCAACCTCAGTAGGATCAGTTGCTTGCAACTCTATTTGAATTCCATCTAGCTCTCTCTTGAATCTGTCTTTGGAGCTTGCATAAATCATCTTGCTTCTGACCCTTGATGTATCAGGGGACCTTCAAGTTAAAGTAACAAATTCAGATAAAGATTAATAACAAAGCAACAACTAGCAGACCTAAACAAAACCTTACCATGCAATGAAGAAAATCCTGCTTTTGGGGACATTCCCTTCTGTCAGAAACTCAAAATCATAAACAGCATAACGACACTCATCAGAAGGAAGGCTAGCAGAGAAATCTTCATAGCCTTGGGTTGGCTCACCAAGCTTCTCCACAATGACTTGCTTCTGCTTCTCCTCAATCTTATAAATTATGAACCTGTGTGTCCTTTTTGCCTTGAGCTCCAAAAACCTTAACTTGCAGTCATCATGGACTGCCATACCCGATGCTGCATTTGCCTGTAAAATTGAAGACACATAGTTTAAATCCAAAACACGGCTTGGTTGACACTGGATAATTTTGTGTAAGACTTGCAACGCATTGAGCACAAGGCACAAGCAGATAAACAAACCAATATAAGTATACATAAATACTCAATCTTTTGCCATTTAAGTGGTTACTCAATGAAAAACAAAAACAAATGATTGTTAACATAGAGGGGTTGGAAAGAAGAGAGAGAAAGACAGAGAGAGAGAGAGAATAGAATAAAACTTAGAGCTAATTTCATATCCCCTTCAAAAGGGTGAAAACTTCATTGATGAGATTTTCATATATATTTTCATGCAAATGTTATCTCATAAAATTTTCCCCCATTTTTTAAGACGACACCAATCTAAGGCTTCTAATTGGGCTGCTTAAGAGATTAAAGAATGAAAAGAGTTAATATTGTATATGATGAATGATTTATAGGAATATGCAAATAGTACTAATACAGGCATAGTGTTATTCAAAATCATGGGTTTAGAAACAAATAATCTTTTTAGAGCCAAAATAAGCAAAATATTATATTTTGGTTTGTCTTCTTCAGTAAAAAAAAAAAAGATTAAAATAAAAACATAATTTCAATAATTAATAAATGCAATAAAAAAGAATTATATTTGCTTAAAAAATTTGCCCATCTTCAGCATAAAACCTATCTGTGCAGAGATCAAAGACAATCATCAGATGCTACTAAGTAAAATGAAAATGATTATGTCATGAGGAGGGACAGATTAGGGTACTCCAGATTAAAGAATTGAAAATCAGATCTAAAAGCAAATGATGAACTGAGCAGTAAACCAGTTAGAAGGGATTCAACAAAAATCAGAAACAAGTGATGCTGATGATGGATGATATAGCAAAAATAAAAACAAAAACAAAAATTGTTAGTTTGTTTTTGCAGTTTCAAGCATCAGAACTAGAAAGAGAAGAGAAGAGAAGAAACTAACCATATTTGTTTGGAATTGGAAAGGAAAAAGAGAGCGATGGTGCAGCAGCAAATATAGGAATCTATCTGTCTCTGAGAAAGAATTGAGGGTTTGGTTTGGGTATGGTTTTGGTTGCTTTGAGGATCAACAAACAAAAGTTAAAAAGAATTTTGAGAAATTAATATTCGGATTCCTTTTTTCTTACAGGTGTAAGGCAACATGGGCAGCCCCAAAAATGTCGCCTTTTGTTCCTGGTTTGGTTTGGATCCTCGGTACGTCTTATAACGTAATTTTCTTTTTGATTTCTCAAATATTTTTCACTTTTAGAGGGAACCTTTTAACACTATTTTTTTCATACAAATAAATTTTCGAATTAAATAAAAATTACACGTTTAAGAAACATAAGATTATTTCTAATGTAATTAATAAAAGAGAAATGATACTTATACACAATTCCAAAGTGATTGGATTCATCTGAATCATTTTAAAAAGTTATATTAACGTTAATATATTATCCACACTAAGATACTCTAGAGCAATATTGTTGAATCGCAATACGTATCGTATATTGTTTGGTCAATTTTTTATATCGTGTATCATAAATCGTATCGAATCCTAAGATACAAGTAATTTAAAAATATGTAATATAATTAATATCATATAAATTCAAATTCAAAAAAAGATCCAATCAGCAAAATACATAAGTAAGTAAAGTGCAAATCAATTACTCTCATACTCATTAATCATTAAGACTAATTTATCACTGCTATCACTATCAATATCTATCAATGACACATTTAATCCACCATCCTCTTTCAAAAAGGATCATTTTAGAATATTTTTTTTTGGTTAATTTAAATTGCTAATCAACTCTTTATTTATTTTTTATATTAAAAATTATAAATTTTGATTTAATTTTTGTATCGTATGATACGCGTATTGTATCATATCGTATTATAAGATACAATATCGTACCATTCGATACAAACTCCTTTCTAATACACCCAACGATACGTATCGTTGAGCTTGTGAATCGTATCGTATCATATCATATGAATCGTATCGTGTACGTAAGATACTGATAGATATGCTTTAGAGCATAAAAATTGGATCGAACTTGTCGATCCAATCGGTTGATTCCGAAACCGGACCCCCAACAGATCCAGTCCAAATATTAGATCAGAGTTGCATTTGGCCCCGATGGAGAGATTATATCAGATGTATTTATTTGTGTAAAATATTTCACAGTTAGCAAGCATGGGATCAAACCCACGGTAGGAGGCTAAACACAAACAATACCACCAGATTAACCCCATGTGTTGATCATATTGCTCTTAATTTTATATTTATATATAGTATTATATAAATTCAATTTAATCGGTTAAATCAGCGATTCACTAGTTGGATCAATAACTCATTGACCCAGTATCTCGTTCCAGTTAATAATCGGTCCAGATTTAATAACATTGCTCTAGAGAATCTAATAAAATTAAAAGATAAATAATGTGCAAATCCATTTATATGTGCTAAGAAGCTCTAAATCATTTGGATACAAATGCTCTAATATCATATCAAGTAACCAATTTTCTCAATAGTTTAAACCATTAAATACATGAAGATAAATAATCTTATATATTATATTTCTAGCTTTTCTCTAATTTTTTCTTTATCCTTTAATTTTTTCACTTTGTTTCAATTTTTTAATTTTTTTCTCTCTTCCAAGAAAAAAGTATAAATAATAGGGTGATTTATGAGATACTCAAACCGTGATGAGTGTAATAGTGTTAGAGGTTGAACTGGTTCTTGTTCTGAAATTGTAACCACTAAACTATATCATTTTATTAGTAGTTGTCTTATTATTTATATTTATATATTTTTATATAAATTCAATTTAATTAAATCAATCAATGATTCATTAGTTGAACCAGTAACACATTAATCCAACCCAAACTGAGTATTACTGACATGACACGTTCTAAAATAGTCATATGGCTCGGGCTGAGTTGGACCATTCTTAGGTGGAGTGGGGTTGTAGTGGCCCAAGAATGAATACTTGGGCATTGAAAGACCGATACCATTACAATGGATATCAGTATTACTGCTGCTAGAGGTGTAAATGGACTAGGTTAGGTCGGGTTTTAGCTTTTCTGGTCTAAGCCTACGTAAAAAAATATTGAGTCTAGCCTATTAAAGGCTTTGTTTATAGGCCAGACCTGGCCTATTTTTAAAGATTAGAAAGTCTGATATGGCCTACAGGCCTTGTAGGCCTCCCACTGCAGATACTGAGCAAAGAAAGTTCCATTCATACATGCACTAATATTTCTTGTAAGAAATAAAAAATGATAAACAAGAAAGATTCAACATAATATCTCAACTCTAGAATGTATATCAGGGAGGAATTAGAGGCAAAGAAATGGGAAAAATAAGAAAGAAATACAATTACTGAGTCAACCAAAGACGAAACTTAGAGACAGAGAAGTCACTTAGAAGCGGCGGTGCACTAAAGAAATTAGGGTTGATACTTTGTCACCTAGAATAAATATTTTATTTTATTTTATTTTAAAAAGTTAAATAGGCCAGCCTACAAGGCTTTAGGCCAGGCTTGACAAAGTTAGCCTTTGGCCTATTTGTTAAAAAGATTTTCTTTTAAGCCTAAGCCCACTCTATTTTTTCAAAAAGACCAGGCTAGGCCAGACTCAACATAAACCGAACTGTAGGCCAGATCAGACTAGCCTGACCCATTTACACCCCTAACTGCTGCAGTCTCTCAAATGGTTTAGAGTTCCACACTTTCCACCAATTTCTGTCGTTATTATGGCATTTGCTTTCATTGGCTAATTCATTTTTGTTTTTCTATAAATGAACCAGATCGGGTTCAGGTACACTTCATATTGGTTATTATGGATTCTTAGAAGATGTATTTGCTCTTGGTAGGGATGTAAATAGATTAGACTTTACCTTAAATAGGTTAAATTTGTGTAAAAAATATTAGGTTTGATCTGGCCTGTTAGCCTGTGTAAGCCCCAAATTACAAGTTTGATCTAATTTATATTTAAAAAATAAAAGCCTTGACTAAAATAATATTATTTTATTATTCAAAATTATTAAAATAATAATTTTATTTATTTTATTTAAAATAAATAATATGATATAAGCTGACCTGTAGACTTATAGGTCCGACATGTACAAAAAAATCCCTAGCCTGTTTTCTAAATAGATTTTTTTTAAAAGTCTAGATATGTTCTATTTTACTATTTATAATAGGCCAAGTCTGACCTAATATAGGTTAGACTGTAGTCCCCTGTAAGCCAGCCTAGTCCATTTACACCCGCTATTGCAAATTTTGGCCAAGTAGTAGTACATCAAACTTTTTCCCAAAATTAATTGCAAGTTACGTTGAGTTCAATCTTCAAATTCTATTTTGATTCATCAAGACACATTAAAAGTAGCTAAGAAGGGGAGCTCCGCAGCACAAAAGCTGCTATTAATAATAATCTAGTTGAACACATCAAGACCAATCTCAATAGGATCAGTTGCTTGCAACTCTACTAGAATCTGTCTTTAGAGCTTGCATCAATCATAACCCTTGATGTATCAGGGTACCTTCAAATGAGAGTAACAAATTTAGATAAAAAGAAATAACAACAACTAGCAGATCTAACCAAAACATTAACCATGCGATGAAGAAAATCCTGCTTTTGGGAACTTTACCTTGAATCACTTTTCCTACTTGATTTTAAATGTTACTCCTTTTTCTTTATAATACATTGTGTCCATGAACTACTTGAATTGCTAAAGAAAAACGAAGGACAAGATGTTTAAAAAATAAAGGACAGCACAGATCACAACAAAATATAATATATTTATTTTTGATTGTTAAAATAACATAAATACAAAACAAAAAAGCATACAATTATCTAAGTTTTTATTATTAACTGAACGACCAGCCGGTCCGACCGATTCACATGACCTGTTAAGGTTTATGACAACATTTACGACTAGGCTATAACGATTTTAATATTAAAAAACACCTATTATTATATTTATTATATAATTTTATATAAATCTATTAACTTAGCCAGTGCCCTAACCAAATCAATAACCGAACAAGATTTAATAACAATGATTACAAAATTAAGTCCAGATCACAGAGTAAAAAACCAATAACACGACCTTTTATTACAAAGGAGCACTTCGCAAAGCTTGGCTATAAACTGCCAACATCATAATAAACAATGCATCTCAAGACCATTCAGACAACATCATCCTCGAATTACAAGCAAAAGAAATGATGGAAAAATAACTGAAAGCAATCTTCCAAATGAGCTCTGGCTAAGGCTAGTCTCGTAAACCTTCCAAGAATAATACCCAACCAATAGAATAGGATCTCATAACACCAAACCAAAAAATTGAAATTAAAAAAATTTAAAAAAAAAAAATTATTGTAGCAAGAACAGGTGGCTTTATATCAGCCGAATGAAGTCATAAAGTGAACCCCATTTTTTGTCCAATCACACAACACAGTTACAAATTCAACTAGTAAGCATAGGACTAAAATGCCACTCCAACACAAAGGAAGTAGGTATAAATCACAAATCATGAGCTACACTTCAGGTGTGATAAACATTATGCCACAACTTGGGAAAATTGAGACCATAACAAAGCCAAAATGACCATCCCACAAACTAGAAATTTTCATAAAAGTAACTAAGCCTTAAGGGGCGCTCCCCAGCATAAAGGCTGCTTATTCATAATCATTTAGTTGGCACGGCTTTTGAACACATCAAGACCAACCTCAGTAGGATCAGTTGCTTGCAACTCTACTTGAATCCCATCCAGCTCCCTCTTGAATCTGTCTTTGGAGCTTGCATAAATCATCTTGCTTCTAACCCTTGATGTATCAGGGGACCTTCAAGTGAAAGTAACAAATTCAGATAAAGATTAATTACAAGGCGGCAGCAACTAGCAGACCTAAACAATACCATGCAATGAAGAAAATCCTGCTTTTGGGGACATTCCCTTCTGTCAGAAACTCAAAATCATAAACAGCATAACGACACTCATCAGAAGGAAGGCTAGCAGAGAAATCTTCATAGCCTTGGGCTGGCTCGCCAAGCTTCTCCACAATGACTTGCTTCTGATTCTCCTCAATCTTATAAATTATGAACCTGTGTGTCCTTTTTGTCTTGAGCTCCAAAAACCTTAACTTGCAGTCATCATGGACTGCCATACCCGATGCTGCATTTGCCTGTAAAATTGCAGACACAGAATAGAAATCCAAAACCGATTGGTTGACACTAGATAATTTCTTGTAAGACTTGCAATACAATGAACACAAGCAGCTAAACGAACCAATATAATTATACAGAAATACTCAATCTTTTCGCCATTTAAGTGGTCACCCGATGAAAAACCAAAATCAAATGACATTAACATAGAAGTATTGGAGAGAGAGAGAGAGAGAAAATAAAATAAAACTTACAGCTAATTTGATATCCCCTTCGAAACGGTGAAAATTTCATATAAATTTTCATACAAATGTTATCCCATAAAATTGCCCCCTATTTTAAAGTAAATAGCAATCTAAGGCTTAGAAATTGGGCTGTTTAAGAGGTTAAATATTGACAAGAGTTAATTTGGATATGTTGAATAATGTTACAGGAATATGCAAATAGTACTAATACACACAGTGTTTATCAAAATCATGAGGTTAGAACCAAAACAAGCAAAATATTATATTCGATGTGTCTTTTTCAGCCAAAAATAAAAAATAAAAAAACATTTCAATAATTAATAAAACAATTATGTTAACTTCAAAAATCTGCCCCCATCTTGACCAGAAAATCTATCTATACAGAGATCAAAGACAATCATCAGATGCTAGTAAGTAAAATGAGAATGATTATGTGATGCAATGGATTAGGGTATTCCAGAACAAAGAGTTGAAAATCAGATCTACAAGCAAGTGATAAACTGAGCAAGAAACCAGCTACAAGGGAATCAACAACAAATCAGAAACAAGTGCCGAAAATATTGCTAAAATAAAAAACAAAAATAAAAATTCTTCCTTTTTGTTTTTGTTTTGTTTTTCAAAGATGAAAAAGAGAGAGAAGAAACAGACCATATTTGTTTGGAAGAGGAACGGAAGAGCAACCGGTGTTGTCGGAGAAGATATAGGAATCACTCACTCTCTCTCTCTCTCTCTCTCTCTGGAAAGAATTGAGGATTTGGTTTGGTTTGGTCCGAGATTTGAAAGTGAGTGAATGAAGAAGAAAAGGTAAAGGATTTTGACAAATTAATTTAATTAATTTTCGTTTTTCTTTTCTTACAGACAACATGGCCAGCGCGTGACGTGACGTCCCCAATTGTCGCGTTTTCTTCCTCCATAAAGCTATTGGCTGCATTGTGGAAATAAGTCGTAGTACCTAGATTCAGTGCATCTTTTAAATAAGGACATTACACATCAGAGGAGAGAAAAAAAAAATTGACAGACAATTTTTTTTTTAACTGACATGTAATATTTTCATTGGTGAGAAGCACTGAATCTTTGGTATAGCAGTAGTACCAAAGATTTATTCGCATTGTGGATGAAAATGTTTTCAGTAATGAATAGGAGTGAAAGTGGGACAGACCAGACTATAGGAGTCTATGACCTAACCTATATTAGGTCAGACTCGGCCAACTATATGTAGTCAAATAGAATAGACCCAGACTTTTAAGAAAGCCTATTTAGGAAGCAAGCCATTGGCTTTTTTTTATATGTCGGGTCTATAAGTCTACAGGTCAACTTATATCATATTATTTATTTTAAATAAATAAAATAATATTATCCATAGTAATATTAAATGGTGATAGCTCAGTTGGTACATGTGAGCTGAGTAGGTGGTGGAAGGACCTAGGTTCGATTCCACCAAATTGGAAAGGGACATAAGATATGTACCAATCTCTACAGTAGAATCAGAATCAACATTTAGTAGTGGAGGAAGAGTTATTGATGGTTATCGTTCTAGCTTTGCTAAAAATACCATCCAAGCTTTAATATGTGGAGGAGATTAGGGGTGTTCATCAAACGATCCAAACTGATTCAAACTGCGGTGACCGAACCGAATAATCGATAACTGAACAAACCGAAAAATCAAAAACCGAAAAAAATCGCAACTTTTAATTGGATTGGATCGATTTTCGGATTGCTTAATAAAAACCGATTCAATCCAAACTGATCCAATATATTAATTCCCCTCTACTCACTTTGGTCTTTCTCCAATCATAATTCAAAAATTTCTAAACCCAAGACCCATTAACCCATCAACTAAAATTTCATCTGTATAGAGCTTCATATCTCATTGCCCAAAAAAAAATTATATTATCGTTTACTGATCCTTTTGTATTTCAATTTTTTTTTACAAAGTCAATATATATATATATAAGATGTTATCTGCATGAAACAAATTTTAGGATTTTCAAAAAACTGAAAATCGATCCAATCCAAACCGAAAAAAATTGGAATGGATCGGATCGGATTTGAAAAAAAATCCAAACCGAATGAATGATTACATGGTAAAACCGAAGAGATTGGATCGAATGAGTTTTGCTTCCAAAACCGATTCAATCCAGACCGCGAACACCCCTAGTGGAGATTGGATATGTAATAAGTATGACTTGAAGAAAAAATAATATGAAGTGGGTCAGGCCAGGCTAACAATTAGAATTTGTATTTTAATAATTAACAGGCTAATTGGACATGCCAGACCTTTTGATTTTTATAAATGGATCAGGTCAAGTCAACAGTTAGACTTGTAATATATCGTATCAGGTCAAATTAAAAAATTTTAGCATAAATTTAGACTTTTTGGGAAAGCTCGACTCAACCCATCTCATATAAGTATTTCGTGCCTCATTTATTAAATATGGCAAAACATAATTTTTATTTTTTTTGGTGTGGAAACATAATTCTTTTATATCTATATCCCATATTTTTCTTTTCCGGTAAAGCAGTATTGCTGTAGCGAAAATCCTATCGATCATGCTTTATTTATCCACAATTTCAAACGTATTTCTCCGAATATTTTTTTTAGGATTTAATTCAATATATTGTGAATGTAAAAATATAAAATTTTACACTGTTATTTATTTATTATTATATTATTTTAATGAATTTAAGGTATATTTTTATTTATTTTATTAAATATGACAACATAAATAATTTATCTTTTTATACCAATAATACTTCAAAATTAAACTCTATTTTTTTTTACCTGTTTAGGTTTAATTTAATAATATTGTATTTTCTACATCGTAATGTGATATGATATGACGTTGCTAAAAGGCAAATTTCTCATGAGACAATTAGGCACCGAAAGAAAGTGTTCTTCTCAATAGTATTGTTTTTTTATTCACATGACTCTCGACATAAAATACAAAGATACCTGCCAAAAAGACCCGAAATCCTTTATAATCTAATTAACAATACTTATACATAATTTTAAAGTGGATTCGTTTAAATCATTCAAAATAGTTACATTATCATCGATACGCTATTTAGTGACCTGCATATGAATTTGTGCGTATATAATATCCATTTTATTATTCTTATGGAAAACTACCCAAAGAACATATACTACACTATTCACTTTGACAAAGACCCTAGAAAACTACACACAAACTGCATAATGCTAGTTCATTAACCTGAAATCATATTTATAAACCATCTTTGTAGCTCCTGAACCCCAAGCAAGATAGAGACCGTAAAGAATAGATGAAAGTTCAGCATGCAAATATTCTATAAACTTAAAAATCTTTGGGGACCGGAGGGAAATCGTCTCTTCCTCTCCCTCGAAAGAGGTTTAGTCTCACAATTCTTTCGGTGATAGTAGCCCAACGCACCTTCTGTTTCAATGAGGACCTAGTTTTAGAAATTGTACTCCGAAGGCGTGAAAATACCTCCAGGTTATCTAAAAAAAAAAATATTTTCTCATATATTTCATTCATCCAAAAATAGAGGTTCCTTTGACACCTCATCTGATAGCCGTTAGATTAAAAAAGACCAACGACTCTGATTTGTAAGCATATGATACAATTGATCTTTTTTTATCTAATGGCTCTCAGATGATGTGTCAAATTTTAAATTTGACACTGATGTCAAAGGATCTTACCTCCCAAAAATATATTGAAAGAAATAATTATTTTTTAAAGTTATCTATTTTTAATTTTAATTAGAATATATATGACAGAAATAAACGTAGATCCATACTAAAGTGGGATAGAGAGCTTCTTGGATTTTATTTTAAGAGAATATTATATTACTAAAGTAACTTAAGTTTATTTATTTCAAGAAGAAAAATGAATTTTTTTTTAAAGAAATTAGGAAATATATATATTGAATGAACAAGAAGGTTGGCATTTGAGCGAGTCTCAAGGATGATGTTTCGAGAATACATAGAAACACCACACTCCATACTAAAAATAGGAAGGGAAAATAAAGGATCACCTAATTGTGAATCACAAAATGAAAGCTAACAATTTATTAGCTGTTCCAAAGCATTACTCATAACAAAAAATGAGCGTCTCATGTTTTAACATTTTACTTCTCTTCAATTTTCTCTTTAGCTCCCTTTGTGTTTCCCATAGGAACCAGGGTGGTGGCTGAGGCTGAGGCTGAGGTGGTGGTGGTGGTGGTGGTTTTAACCGGTGGAAGTGGCTAAGCATGGCAAGTAATAATAGGAACACACAAGCACGTAAGGTAATGGTGGTGGCTGACCCAACAAGGGAATCAGCTGGAGCATTGCAATATGCACTTTCCCATGTTGTGCTTGAGCAAGATGAATTGATTCTCCTCCATGTTGAGAACACAAGTTCATGGCGTAACACTATTTCAACATTCCTTAAGATGCCTTCACTTGGAAGCTCAACAACTTCATCCTTAGACCTTGGAGGAGGAGGAGGAGGAGGAGGAGGAGGAGCAGCAGCAGATGGTGAAGGGGTTGATTTTCTTGAAGAAATGAAGCATGCATGCAGAGTTTCTCAACCTAAATTGAGATTCCGTGTGTCAAGTGTGGAAATGGATGGAAAAGACAGGGCAAATACTATCCTTTCCCAATGCAAAACACAAGGGGTTGATGTCATAGTTATAGGGCAGAAGCGCAGTCTTTCTTCAGCATTACTAGGGTAATTATCTACTTCATATTACTAGCTAAAATGGATTGTGTTTCTTTTTAATATTTAATGGGAGGGTGAGCCTTCCAGCAATGATAAAATTGTTCCTTGTGACTTGATGCTCACGAATTCCAATTTAGAAAACAGTTTTTTTGTAAAAATATAAAGATACCGTTGCATACAATAAACTTTACGAATTTTATATATATATATATATATATATTTATTTTATTTTTATAATAAAAATTTTTGTTTTTTATTCCTCTCTATACTTTGTTTCTCCTCTCTATTTGACATTGCATGGTATGATTATAACATATGTTGTGAGATTTTGAGTTTTTGTTAATCCTGTAGATTTCTTTCATCTAAAAGGAAAAAAAAAAAGGAATGGATTCATGTATTGCTTTAGAGAAAATTTCAATTTCATGATGAAAGTTGATACAAACAATTTTGACCAGTTGGGTTCATGAATGTAAAAATAAATGAATTTATGTGCAGTATGTATAACTGTATAATGTTGTTAGAGAGAAGTTTCATGTAGCTGGTGAGGAAGTTAAACTGTTACTAATGTTTGTTTTTCAATGCATGCCAACAGATATAAGCGACCTTCAGGAGGAGGACCTACGAAAGGGTCAAAAACGATAGACACAGCAGAGTATTTGATCCAAAACTGCACGTGCACCTGTGTTGCTGTACAGAGAAAAGGCCAAAATGGAGGCTATGTTCTGAATACAAAAACTCACAGAAATTTCTGGCTCTTAGCTTAAAGGGTTCACATGGATGGATCCTTCTGGCACCGCCCATATCAGACATCTTTTATTTATGGGATTGTGTTTGTGTATGGTTGCAATGTTCTGTAGCATGACCAATTTCATTACAGGTAGATTTAGGAGACATTTTTTAAATAAAATTATTTTTGAGTCACTCAAATTATTATTTAGCACATGTAAAAACTAATTTTAAAAATAAATGTATTTTTATAATTTTTAAGAATTTATACATGTCAAATAATGATTTGAGTGTATGTGATAAATAATACTTGTTTAAAAATCAATATATATAGATATGATGAAATTGGTAACCTGAAAACCATGTATATGTTATCCTGAAACCCTCATGTTGTAACATGTTCACAATAGCTTAATAAAGCAAATCTATAAAGTCAAGCTTCTATGTTTAAGCATAAAAGAATTTCATTACAATCAGACAAAACAATCCATGTATGATCCTATAGTTCTTTGAATGTAACAGAGATATTGCTGCTCTCTTAGCTACAAGAAGAAAGGTAATGAAAAGAAAACCAATTTAATTAAACTAGTTTTGTTTTCACCCTTTCTGTTTTTCTATGTTTTATATAAGAGTCCACATCAAATATAGAGAAGATAACAATCTTAAACTACATGATATATAAACTAAAGAACTTTAGTCCTCACTATACATTGTCCCCAATGCTTAACATGGTGATATCCTTCATGAGCATATCATGCAAAGAGAATCCTTCACTTTCAATGGGGTAAGCATTCTCCACCATCAAATTTCCACTATACAAAGGAATGAAGCTCTCTACATAATTGAAGACATTATAGGAAAACTCAGCTTCAAGATCACTTTCTGGAAGCAAAGCTATGATTCCACTGACACTATGTATTGCTTTATTTGTTGCCATAAGAACTTCATTTTTCCAAATACCCACTGGACGCTCTAATCTTGAAAACATTCCTATAGTCTGTAACTTAGTCCAAGATTTTACACCCTCATATTTATCATACAAAGCCCACAAATGTAAGCATTGCTCCATACTTTTAGTTTCTGAGCAAATAACCACAGCAACTAAACCCTTATACACTAAAAGTTTCTTATAAACTTCAGAACAATCCTTATCAGAACCAGGCATCTCAATCTTGCTGAGCACATCGTTACATGAGTTGAAGGAAATAATCATTTCATGGCTAACCTTTTCACTTACCTCCATAGCCACCCAAAACAAAGCTCCCTCCACTGTCACAAAATTTTCAGTCCAAAACAAAGCTCCATTCACCCTTACAAGTGGATCAGAACATTCAATTTCTCTCCACAACCCAGTACGTAGAGAGTACTTTTCAACTCGAACAACACAAATTCTGCTAAGAGAATCACCCCAACAAGAACTTTCTGTGTCCCCAAAAGAATGAAGTCTTACTACATGATAATCAAAGTCATTGTAGTCAAAATAAAAGCCTATAAGGCAATTTGGTGGTACCTTATGAGGCATGAAAGGGTTTTGTGCTTCTAGGATCCGTTTCGTTTGTATTGTGGCTGGGTTCCAAAGCAAAAGGGTAGAAGTTGGGTCCAAGGAATAATGAGTAACACATACTAAACCATTACATGAACCAACAATCTTAAAACCCATGTCAGAATCTGTGACTCTTGGAACATGAAGTTCTTTAAGATCTTTTGTTTTAACATCTAGCAGAAATAAGTGTTGACCACATATTTTGTCATTCCAGTAAAAGCGGTCAAGGATTAGAAGTGGGTTTGAGTGGGGTACTACAAAAGAGAATAAACCATTGATGTACATTATTTGTTTGAACTTTGAAGTATATTATTTATTTCTAAAGATAAAAAGAGGCTTTTATATTGAAATATCTATATGAGAATTGAATTCGAATAGGTAGAATATTTGGCATAATCGAAGAGGCAGGCAATTTGGAATTCCAGTGCAGCAGTCTTGGAATGTGAGTCATCAATTGGCGGAAACAGTGAATATAACTAAGCTTTTAGTAAAGGATATGATATAAGTTACAAGAATATAAGAATCTGATTACTCTATTTTCTAAAAGAGTGGTTTGTGAGCCATCCTCCTCATATTCTTGGTGGAGAAACAATTGATTCTAGGGAAATATAAGAATCATGTTGCAGGAATGACACTGTTCATTCCTGCAACAAGGATCCGCGTCCGTATCTTAAGGATACGGCGTCGTATCCTGATTTTGGTCTGATTTTTTTTTTTAAGCGTGGGACCCACACTTGATTTGTGTGTGCAGGAAAGTGCTCTAGTCATGTCATATGACAAAAAGCGAACCCTTGATTCTAAACAGGTGATTCGTGAGTAATCCACGTCCCCTTTAAGATATTTTTTTATTATTTGATGAATTTAAGGTAGTTTTATTTAACATGATTCACTTGAAATTCACCCAATAATAGAGTGTGATCTTAAAAAGGATGTGCCAAATATTGTGTTACTAGTGTTTCTCTTTTAATAATGACCATAGACATTCTCACGTCAAATTTGGAACAGACTATTCCTATTGTTGATTCGGACTAAATATTAATTTTTGTGTGAAAAATCACTTATTGGTTTTTTTTTTTTTCTCCTTCAGAATTGCAGACTACTGATTTGTGAATCAATGTAACATTACATTACGAAAAGTCATGTTGGATTAAAGAATTGGATCTTAGATAAATAGTAATTAAATGCAATGAAACAAAAGTTCCATCGAGAAGAGGACCAATTCAAAACAACTAGTTTGAAGTTTGAAGTACGAAAATAGGAATACAATTATACAAACGAGAAAAACCACAAATGATGATATGTGCCATTGAAATACATCATTGTTTTAAAATCTGAATCGGACCGACTGGGTCGACCCAAATATTAGTAATCCACTAGTTCAAATTGATCAGACTAGTATCAACCCGGTGAATCGGTCATGACCCGCGATTCAACCGGTATTAACCCGTACCAGATTTCGCACTTGAACCAGTTTTTCAAAGTTTGTGAAAATGAATTTAAATTTTGTAGCATCAAGGACTCAAACCCACGTGGGGTTGATGGAAGTTGCAACACTTACCACTACGCTAGAGTCACTTACCTGTTATAATGCATATTTTAATATATTTATTATATGATTTAATTAAATTCAGTTTAACCGGTGACCCATCAATTGAACCACTGACCTATTAACCTAGTACCTCGACTGAGTCAATGACCGGGTCGAGTTTTAAAACAGTACAGTATATTGTTAACTTTGTGTTACTCCTGTGGTTCTTTCATTCTATACATCTACAAAATACAACAGTAATATCAAATAAATTTTCTGTATTCTATCATATAAAATCCTATTAATACAAGATGGAAGACCCTTCCCAGTCCCACCCACCAAGGGAGACTAGAAAAACAAAAACAAAAAATTTCTGTTATCAAACAACACAAGAAACTAAAGAAGCTGCACATTGTCTCTGGGTTCTGTGATCACTGAATGCAGCAATCTGTCCCCTACTATTAATCTAACTTTGTTTATCCATAGTTCTCGTGGAATCTTTTGTTCCTGAGGCCCAACAAAGTTAATGTTAATCAGTAACTGGAGATTTACATAACAAAGCAGTGCATACAATACACGATAAGAACCTTAAAGCAATGATAAATAGTATTGTTTACTTACTTGGTAAAGACGGTAGCTTTTGAGTAACAAAGACATTTGTGATGGATTCAAATGGTTTGAAACTCTAGTCACTAGATTAGGAAACGACACATATTGTGATCTAGGTTTTAATGCCCCATATATCTCTGGATCTGTACCAAAACATAGAAATGGTCAACCCTTATTCAAGCACTTGTTACAAATACAAATATCATGAAAGAATTGCATACTTATACTGAAAAGGTTACCCCACTTACCCTTCATATAATTAAACTTGAAACTTAGAATATAATCTGGATGAATGTATGAATTCATAAAAGCAGTCCATATAATATGTCTTTTGGGTGTTGAAATATCATCCACCCCTGAGTCATATTGATTGGAACTTGGTTGGTTCTGCTTTGAACCAGCAGGAACAGCTTCTACCTTCCCTAATATAACCCTGCATAACAGCACATGCCTCAAACCATGCTCATCTGCCACCGTAGACATAGCACTGTGAATGAAATAAATAAATTGTTACCATTTGGAAAATAAAAAATAAAAGGACTAGTTCATGTAAAATATTGCATATAGCCACTTACCTATCAATGGAAAAATTGGCAGAAAATAAGGAAAACCCATCACCATAAGACTCATCATCATCATCATTATTGTTGCAAGTGCTGAATCCAACGGATACAATCTCTGTGAGTTCATCCAATGAGCCACCATACCAAGCATACCTCACATTAGCATCCCCTCCACATTTAATTGCCACTGCCTTAGAGAAAATTTTAAATGAATCCAAACGAGCTTGCCTTGCAAAACTAAAGGAAACATTGTTCTTATGAAGGGCCATGACATTTGTGGCATGCCCCATAAATCCCATACCCTTTAAGAAACCTTTCTTGACGAATTGGTATTCTTCACACCCTTCAATTATGTTCATTAGCCCCTTACTAACGAAAATCTCATTTGGCTGCATTTTTTTTATTTTTTTCCTCTAAAATCAGATGATTAATGTAACGGAGCTATATTTGTTTTTGTTTTTGTACTCTAGTACCTCCTAAACATCAATACGTGATTAGCAATGCATGAAGTTCAATATTTATTATGTAGTTTGGCCATGAGCCTTGGTGCCCAAGATAAGCAGTTTCCGTGCCGCAATTGCTGACGGCACCTAGAAACGGTATTTGTTGTGGGCTTGTGCGCCTTCCACAAGACACGATGAATTGAAAGAAGTAGAAAAAATATACTCTAAAATCTTTTATGCTAATTATCCTTAAATATATGTAAGGGTGGTGTTATAAAGTTCCAATTGCAAACTCTATTGCATACAACCTGTTCTGCCTAAGGGCGTCCAATCAGGATTCGATGATTGATCTATGATTCAGGCGTCTTCTCTGGATACCTATGAGTTAGGTATCTTGGGGACAACAAATCACACACTATCTGATGGCCTTAGCCTTGGGAGAGGTGTGTGTACTACTTAGGCTGCGTAGATAGGTAAAAAGAGATTAGGTCATACCTGTAGCTTTTAGCTCCTATTTATAATGCTTACCTGTGGGCTTGTGCTGATCATGGGCCTTACTGATCATGGACCTCATTCTGGTCCATAACACAACCTTTATTAAGATCAGATCCATTGTGTAGGTCTATAATAAATTCTTACCTTGTGTTTGTAAAAAGATGTTTAGAACACCACGCGTTGTGCTTATCATTTTAATTCATTAAATTATTAAATAATCTCCCTTTTCAGCTTTCCAAATTTTGAGCTGGAAAGCGAAGATGATCGTCACAAAAAAATGAAAATTGAGTGATTCCCTGTCACATCATGCGGGCGTGGCTTTAGTATCCGCTTTCTTAGTGTTCAAGTCACAAGTCAAATTGTGTGCCCCTTTTTTCCTTTTTGCTATTAATAGCGTTCATGATTATAGACCTTCCCAAATGTGAATAGTGGCTTTCTGGAATGGGGGAATATGAGGGATTTTGTCACATTTTGACAAAAAAATTATCAGAATATCACGCGAACAGTAAAAATTTTCAAACTGCCACGCGGCATAATTCGCTACACAGTGTAGCGAAATATGCCCCGTCAAAACCAAAAAGTGCCATGTGTCAAAATTGTTGAAAATCGCTACCCTATGTAGCGGCTTTCAACATTCTGACACATGGCACTTTTTGGTTCTGTGCATTCTGACGTGGCATATTTCGCTACACTCTGTAGCGAATTACTTGCATACATAATTCGCTACACTGTGTAGCGAATTATGCCGCGTGGCAGTTTGAGAAATTTTACTGTTCGCGTGGCATTCTGATAATTTTTTTTGTCAAAGCGTATCATTTTGATCACTGTCCCGGAATATGAACCCTTTCTCATTGCGGATATTTACATGACAGCCTTAACTTTTTCATTATGGGTATAAGTTTATTGCGTCAAAATATGATAAAGCTTAAATGGTTACTATTTGACGGTCGGCTTCTGGAGCTTCGGTTACATAAATCCTTAACCTTTCGTTTGGATGAAAGTAAAAAAAAAATTGAAAAGAGAAGAATTTTGGAATTTGAAATGACGATAAAACTTGGGGAGAAAAAATTGTAATTTTTTTTCATTCTTGAGTTTTCTTCATACTTTTCAAGTGAATTTTTCAAAAATAAAATTTTTCATCTTCATCCTTTTTTTCTTTCTATATAATATAGGTTAAACGTCTAATTGAGTAAAATTTGATAATCCATATTTCATACATAATATCCCAATTTTGGTAGATGTTTAATTTTATTTTTAGTATACATCTAATGACTTTTTCAAAATGATCTCATTGAGGAAAAGTTTTAAGTTTAGATAAGTAAATTCCATAGCAAATTTCATCATTAAACGAACAAGCTTAACACTAACAAATTTTCAAAATAACACGTCGTTGAACTCTTCATTTATTGATGAAACTTGCATAGAAAGCCGCTATACATGCAATATTTTCACACTGATGTTTTCAAGATATCATAAAATTGCACAAAAACCTAACTATGAGGCAAAACCTTGTTTAATTTCAATCCATCCATAATTGATTACATTAAATTCAAGTTCGGACTCCTGCGTTTATTTCACGTACCATTTTTACTCCGCTACTATGTGTAACATTGCCAAGCAACATTTTTACACTAATAAACTCAATTTCACAACCAACGGTAAATTATATTGTCAGCATATAACATATTAAAAATTAAAAGATTATCTGGTTTCTCTCAAAAATTTAGCATAATAAACCCACGTATTTAGTTCTCACATTAAAAACAAATAACTACCAAAGAAACATCAAAATTCCACAAAACAAACACTAGAACATGTACAAATGCAGCATGGCACACAATGCCACTTTTCAACTGTAGCCAACAGCAAAATGTTCTTGTGGCCCTGCGCAAATATTAGCAGCGAATTTCTATAAATATAAAATGCTAAGATTTAAAGAAAATAAACGCTACTTTCAAAGAGAAAATTAAATCATTTCCCCGAAAAGACCATCAAAGGCATTGAAGATAAAATGTAGACGCCCTCTTCAGATGCACACAAGTACAGGCAGCAAAAGCCCTCCCTTTTTAAAGACTGGAAGTAAATGCCTTAAAAAATCGATTACACACACTACTCTTCATTTTGACTTTCATCTTTGACAAGCTTAATCATGTCATCAATGCGAAGAATAGTAATAGCCGCTTCAGTCGCAAACTGATAAACAGCAACGAAAACAATTATGCTCAGACAGCTGTATAAGATGCTCTTTCTTGAAATCAACTACCGATGGTATGTAACTAAATACCTACCTGAATAATTTTGACTTTGCTCATTGCAGGCTCAATAACTCCAGCTTCCAAGTTGTTTCTAATTTTTCCTTCCGAAAGGTCCAAACCCATGCTGGGGAAAAAAAAAAAAAAAAGAGACAAACCAAATACAGTTATTTTAATGGAATAAAAAATGAAGTCCATGCTAGACCTAGAACAACACTTGTGTGCTCACACAAATAAAAAAAGGTCATCCAGCATCACTTCATATCTATCCTCTTCGATCATCACTTTTCTCAGATTTCTATTGATTCATTTCCATAGTGGAATTATAATTAAATCTCTAATCAAACCCCAGAGATGGTAATGGGCAGGTGCACAAACTTGTTTTACCCGTCCAAAACCTATAACCAATATTCGAGTCCTACCATATCTCAGATAGCTCTTTACACATGAAACTCCAAAAAAAAAAAAAAAAAAAAAAAAAAAAAAAAAAGCACAAACAAAAAGAAAAAGGAAAAACAAAACGGAACATGATATTGCAAATTTTTATTAGCTTTATAGCACATCCACAAACTTGTGAATTATTGTCTATATATGCAACGTATGAGTGGATGTTAAACATCAAACGAATACCAGATATTATAAGGTAAAATCTTTATTCATCAGAAAAGTACATTTCCTATTTCTATATCCTACCCAATATCAATAGATAACAAGATGTCATTTATCTGAAATACCTGCCCAAATTACCATCCCTACACAGGGTTGGAAGAAAATATTACGAATGCTGAAAAATATAATGACATGACAACAAATATAAAATCAACATACTGCCATAAAGCTCATAAGAATACAATAACAAAGTTAAGGAAATTATACAGCTCTTGTTTTACTAATTACTAGTATGCAAATACCTTGATAAATGTTTCTTGTCCGCTTTAGTTTGTGCTGAATGGTGGTAGGCCCGTAATTTTGCAACCAACTCAGTGGCATCCTTAGCAGCATTGACAGAAAGTACCTGCACCAGATAAGTGTCACCAATATGTACTTCTCTAGTGTTAAAATTGCAGGAAGCAAGAACTTGTCTATTAAAGGGCCACTTGACGCAAAAGATGAAGCAGCAAAAGTTAAATAATGGGTCATTAACACTTTAACCCACAACAAAGGCCCGCTACTAAAAAATGTCAACAAAATTATAGAATCAACTATCTTGTGCAAAAACTACACAAAACAACATCATCAACATCAACATTATCCCAAACTAGTTGGGGTCAGCAATAGATGAACCCAAATAATAAGGAAGGAAAAATAGAAGGAAGAAAAGGAAAAAATAAAAAAATAAAAAGTTACACTAGAAATAAAATAAATAGAAATTAAAAATTACAAAAGACAAAACATACAAAATAGAATAATATAAAGAGAAAATAAAGATAAATAAGAGAAAATATTAGAGAGGAAAAAAAGAAAAACTTTTAAAAAATAGAGGTAAAGGAAAAATTAAAAGGAAATATAGGGGAGAAGGATTAGAAATTTAATTATTGTACTGGGGGCAAAGATCAAACTTTACACCATTTGTTCAACTAGGCCTTACCAGCTTACCACCCTAGTTACATGCAAAATAAGCAGAAAACCTAAAACCTTAAGCTGTTAACTTAGCTAGTCTCCAACCTTTGGAATGATTAACAGAGACTCAGCAAACTCTGCTATAGCCAACTGCTCCCGGGATCCTAAAGTTGTGGCAAGATACTCCAGATATACTGATAATGCTGCTTCAACAGCCCCTCCACCAGCTACCACCTGAATTTTATAAATTGAAAATCAAGTGTAAAAAAGCAGATGAAATAGATATTTAGAGTAAAAAAGGAGTATCCATGAACTGTAGGCCTACATTTACAGGCGAAACACAGAAAATTCATTATAAACAATGAAGGTTACAAGGAGTAGCCCCTTAACAATCAAAATCCTAATCTAACATCCCAATAAACACAAATCCTCACTGTTGCTAAGATTGAGTACACTATACAACCTAACTGCTGATATAAAAATATATCCCAACACTTCCACAATTAAATAACAAACCTCATTGAAAATTCCTTGTCTGATCTCGTTGCATGCTTTCTGGTCAGGAAACATGTCTGGCCAAAAGCCCATAACAAAGAAGCCCCTTTATAA